TATATTTATATCTATTTCTCTCTTTGACAATGGTAAACATGTATTCATGTGCTTCGAGGCTTAAGTGGATTTGACGAGTTGCTGGGTTTCATGTTGGATGGAACGATGACCAAATTGGCCTGAAATTTGTAGACTGCGAGACAATGAAACTGTTGCTTTGTTGTTTTGCTGATTTGTTTGCCTGTCAGTTACAAAGTTGTTCATGCATGTCTAATTTTCATTTTGATATTTTCCCCTCAATTTGCGTGAAGAGGTCTCCGTTCGTGGTACAGACGTGGTTTGACTTTGATTTGTCAATTTTGTTGTGCTGCTACTTCGGTCTGGAGTCTTTTTTCCTCCGTCTCGAACTGTGCATTCGGTTCAGGCTGTGACGTGGCTCAATTGGCGCCAGACGCCAACCAGACGCCGACTGGCATGCCAGCGCATCTTCCGGGAATCCTGCAAATCCGCGGTTCCACTCTGGAAGATGTTATAACGCGGCAGATGTGGAAAAATGTGGAAAAGTGTGGGTAAATGTGAGCAAATGTGGACAAGTATGGGCAAATGTTGACAAGAGTGGTCAAATGTGGACAAGTGTGGGCAAATGTGGACTAGTGTGGGTAAATGTGAGCAAATGTGGACAAGAGTGGACAAGTGTGGGCAAATGTTGACAAGTGTGGGTAAATGTGAACAAGTGTGGGTAAATGTGAGCAAATGTGGACAAGAGTGGACAAGTGTGGGCAAATGTGGACAAGTGTGGGTAAATGTGAGCAAATGTGGACAATTGTGGGCAAATGTGGACAAGTGTGGGTAAATGTGAGCAAATGTGGACAATTGTGGGCAAATGTGGACAAGTGTGGGTAAATGTGAGTAAATGTGGACAAGAGTAGTAAAATATGGACAAATGTGGACAAGAGTGGTCAAATGTGGGCAAATGTCGACAAGTGTGGGCAAATGTGGACAAGTGTGGGTAAATGTGAGTAAATGTGGACAAGAGTAGTAAAATATGGACAAATGTGGACAAGAGTGGTCAAATGTGGGCAAATGTCGACAAGTGTGGGCAAATGTGGACTAGTGTGGGTAAATGTGAGCAAATGTGGACAATTGTGGGCAAATGTCGACAAGTGTGGGCAAATGTGGACTAGTGTGGGTAAATGTAAGCAAATGTGGATAAGAGTGGTCAAATGTGTGCAAATGTGGACAAGAGTGGTAAAATATGGACAAATGTGAACAAGTGTGGACAATTATGCGCGAGTTTATGATTAAAGTAGCTGGTTTTGAACGTGTATGAAAAATGCAACCGTTTAGGGACGGCCAGTCAGCGATCGAGTCTTCGCTCTTTGATCTCGCCTTCGCCCCACTTTTTTCTCTCCGCCTCTCATTCACATCCTCACCCATTCTCTCTTCCTTGTTCTTACTTTCGCTTCTATCCACTCTCTCACCTCCCCGCTCTCCTCGTTGACATTCACCTTTGGCACTCTCGTTCACTCTCGTTCTCCTCCCCACTTTTCTTTTAGTCCATCCTCTCACCTCCACTACTTTCCTCGTCGTCGCTCCCACCTTTGCCCACACCTCCTGTCATCACTTTGCCCTCATTCACTCTCTCATTTTTGCTCTCTTTCTCTCTCTCTCTCTCTCTCTTATCCTCGTTCGGTTGTCAAATTTGCCACTTTAACTGTGGATGTGGAACTGGTGAAAACGCCGGCTCGTCTGTAGGGTTGCTCTGTCTGATGTTCGCCTCAACAACAGGATTAGTTACCGTGGTAACAAGAGACGGCCGATGATAAACAGCAGCAGCAACAAGTCGTCCTTCCAAATGAGATGACCAATTGACCTTCATTCGGAGGACCTGCTTAATCGAGACTTGGGCCTCCTCGACTTGCCCTCACATGCGCCCTTTCCACCTCTGCTTCAGGTACGAGAACACACCGTATTTTAGTTTAAAGTAGAATTTTCACACAATCCGACGGGTACAGCTGACGTTTCCATTTAACTTCATAGAGCCTTGTTTGCAAAAAAAGGTATTCTCATCCAGTCTGGAGCAGATTGCAGTTGCCACCTCACCCAGGTCTCATCAACACCCCCAGCGGGACTCGAACCATGAACCTGCAGCGTATAATCTCGACGCGTCAACCAATCGGCCCCACTCGTCTGTCATTTTTCATATCACATTCTGTATTGAGATTGTCGATGAAGCGACATTCTACTTGGCGGTAGTCTCGAAAGTCCACTTAGAAACGAAGAATAAGCAATGCCGTCGACGAGGTGGAAACTGCAATCTGCTCCAGTCTGGATGAGAATAGCATTTTGGCGAACAAGGCTGTGTGAAATGGTATGGAAGCGTCATCAGATTGTGGGAAATTTCATCACTTTAAAACAACTATGGTGAATACATCTCATACGAAATGATTTATGATTTCTCTCGAAAGCCTACTTATCAACTAAAAACGAGAGCACATCGTTTATGCTGAAAATTATTACAAACAAGAACAAGAACAAAAACAACAACAACAACAACAATCGCAACTGATCTGCACTGACGACGAGAAATGGTACGAGCAGAAGGCAGC